GGAGGCCCCGGCCGGCAGCGGGACCTACACCCGGCACGGCTTCATCTTCTCCTCGCTGGCCGGGTGCCTGGAGAAGAGGAGCGAGGACGGCGGGGTGAGCGCGGCCGCGGCGCTCGCTGCCCTGCCCTGCCCCGAGCCGGGCGCCGGGGCTGCGCGGCCCCTTCCCGCCGGGGGAAGCGGGGTTGGGCCGGGTGTGCCCCGAGCGAGCTAACCCTGCTGCCTGCGGCCCGCAGCTGCCCCTCGTGTCGGTGGTGAGAGACGCCGAGGCCCAGCTCCTGCCCGACGTGGGGGCCGTGGTGACGTGCAAGGTAGGCGCCCTGCTGCTGGCCGTCGTTCCCGCGCGCGTACCGGGGGGATGAGGAGCCCCCGGGCTCGTTGGTACCCTCCCTACGGCTCCCAGCAGGGCAGAGGCAGCCCAGCGGCTCCCTCGGGTCCCTGGCTGACAGAGAAGCCAGATATTGGCGTGGGGGGCACCCGCCTCTCAACGTGCCCGGCCCTGGCCCCCTGCCCTGAGGCCGAGGTGGGCTGAGGGGAGGTTTTCCCGCCCTCTCCCTTCCAGGGCTGCTCCTGGGGGAGGGCGCGTGGAGCGCGGCGCCTGGGGCAGCGGGGAGACAGGGTGGCGGAGGCCAGGGATCAGTTTCCTTACGGTCCTGATGGCGGGAGAGGGACCGGGGTCACAGCAGGTCCCAGCCTTGTTCGTCCGTCTTGAGTTGCACGAGTATCGGCTTCCGCGCCTGGCTGGCTGCCGGGCGTCCCCCCTCCGCCACCGCAAGGAGATGGGAGCTCCCCGCGCAGGGCCCTGTCCTGCCTGCGCCCTGCCCTCTCCCTGCCTGCAGCGGGGGCGCGCTGGCGCTGAGCCCCCTTTTCCTCCGGGCAGGTTTGCAGCATTAACTCTCGCTTTGCCAAGGTGCACATCCTCTACGTCGGCTCCACGCCGCTCAAGTCCACCTTCCGGGGAACCATACGGTAAGGAGAGGGCTGGGGTCCCCGAGGGGGGAGGCAGGCTTTTTTGGGCGGCGCAGCTGGCTGCCCTGGCAGGAGCTCTGCCCCGAGCGCCGGGCAGGTGTCCGGCAAGTCCTGGCGAGCGCCCAGATCCCTCCGTCTCCTTTTTCAGGAGAGAAGATATTCGAGCCACGGAGAAAGATAAGGTCAGTGAGGCTCTGCTGGCGACTCTGCTGCCGCAGCCACCCCTGCTCCTTCTTCCCGCTGGTGGGGGGCACTTGTCCCGCCGGTGACGAGCACCCCGACACGCTGTGCGGTTTTGCCTGCTCTCTCCTGTGCAGGTAGAGGTGTACAAGAGTTTCCGCCCCGGTGACATAGTCCTGGCCAAAGTCGTATCCTTTCCCTGTTTCAGTCGGGAGGGCCCGCCTAAGCTTAAGCTTAAGCTTAAGGGTTTGCTCCCTTAACCCCTGCCTAACCAGATCTCGCTGGGGGACGCGCAGTCCAACTACCTGCTGAGCACGGCGGAGAACGAGCTGGGCGTGGTGGTGGCACGCAGCGAGGCAGGTAGGGATGGGTAGGGACGGGCCCGCTGGGACGGTCCTGCCTCGTCCCCGCCCAGGGGGCAGCTGGTGCCGCCGCCTCCCTTTCCCGCTGGAGGAAGGCGGTTTGGGGAAGAGGAACCCCTGACGCCCGGCGTCCCTAGGGGTGCAGATGGTGCCCATCAGCTGGTGCGAGATGCAGTGCCCGCGGACGCACACCAAGGACTTCCGTAAGGTGGCCCGCGTGCAGCCCCAGTTCCTGCAGACCTAGCGGCCCCCGAGGGGGCGCGGGGACCCTGCCGGGCTGGGGCCCACGGGGCCAGAGCAGCCCCTGGGCTCCAGCCTCCTCCACGCCTGCAAGAGGCTGGAATTGCAGCCGGGCCCTCGCCGGCAGGACGGGTTTTCTATTTTTGGATAATAAATATTTTTTCTGAGAACTCCGCGCTTTGCTCCGTGACGGCCCGCAGGGGTGGCTGGGGCTGCGGGCAGGGCTGTTGAGGAGATGGCTTCCCCAGCGCTGCGGCCAGGAGGAAACACGTGCTCCCGGCCCGCTGCCGGGGAAGGGGAACAACCCCGCGGCTGTGCTGCAGCGAGGCGAACGGCAGAGCTCTGGTTTGCGGCTGGGCGGCGCTGGCTCCAGGCGCTCTCCTCGCCAGGCTGGTTTCCCCCTCCCATCAGTGTCAAGCACGGAGAACAGCTCGTCTTGCCGCACCGATAACCGGTACCGCCCCAGGGCGCCACATCTCCTCCGGCCACACGTGCCCTGCCTGCCTCTGGGGACAAGGGCGGGCCGCGCCCCGAGCCGGGAAACCGCCCAACACGGGGATTGCGGAGCTGTGCTTTCCTCCCTGGAGCCCAGCAGCCGCTGCCGCCTCGCACGTGTGCGGCAGGGCCCGAGGGAGGTGCTGGGCGCACCCGGGAGCACGTGGCAGGAGGAGGCACCCACACCTCGTTATTGCGCATTACTCTTTATTGAACCGGAACGAGACAGCTGCTATTGTCGGACAGTTACGCTGACCCCGTGCAAGGCCAGGCTCGCGGCGCCGGCAGAGGGGGAGGCTGCAGCGACAGGGCTGGGTACGCGGACGTGGGATGGGGCACGAGGGCAGGACTAGGACGGGCTTCGGCTGGGGGAAGCACGCGGCGGACGCGAACCTCCAGACGACCCGCTCCCTCCCTCGCCCTTCTCCAAAGGCAATAAGTTAAAGCGGGGGCTGGCAGAGCTAGGTCCGGAGTCGCGAGTACCGCCCTTGGGTGCTGTACCACACGCACCAAAATACAACCCTGCCGGTGCCTACGCATCCCGGTCCTTGTGCCACGCACCCACGAGGGGATGGGGTACCCATCTTGGTCGCTGCCCGCGCTGCGCTCGCCCCGCTGCTCCCGGGATGGCTAAATCAAGCAACAAAACTACAGTAACCGGATAACAAGAGCTGCCGGGGAAGCAAAGCAGAGGAGGAGCCTGGCACGGCGAGGGATCGCTCGGCGCGTCCCCCTGCAGACGAGGCCCGAGGGCTGGGATCTGGGTGCGGAGAGGTGCGCGGTCGCCGCCCGGCAGAGCCAGGGCTGCCCTTCGCACCAGGCCTCCGCACGCGCCGCCCCTCGCCCCCGGGCCTCCAGGCTGTCTGCAGACGGGAGCCCAGTCCCGAGGGAACGGGCCTAATCCTGGGGAGCTGCTCCAGCTCCGCAGCTCCAAGTTCCTACGGCTGTGGGGGTTGTGCACAGAGGGGTGGGGGAGGTGGGGGGCTCTACTACGTGCTGGCCTGCTGCCTGCCCTCACTTCTTGACCTTGCCCTGAGCAGCGACGGCCTCCATGGCCTTGCGCACCGTCTCCTCATCGCCCAGGAACTGCATGGGCTTGACAGGTTTCAGGTTCTTGTCCAGCTCGTAGACGATAGGGATGCCGGTGGGCAGGTTCAGCTCCATGATGGCCTCTTCCGACATGCCTGCCAACCCAGAGGCACCGTCACTCATGGCCCTGCTCGCGCAGTGCCGGCCGGGAGCCCCCCGCAATACCCCCGCAGAGCTGACCTACCTTCCAGGTGCTTGACAATCCCACGCAGGCTATTGCCGTGGGCAGCAATAAGGACTCGCTTTCCCTCTTTGATCTGCGGGACAATTTCCTCATTCCAGAAAGGCAGAGCCCGGGCGATGGTGTCCTTCAGGCTCTCGCACGTCGGCAGCTGGTCCTCTGTCAGGTCAGCGTAGCGACGGTCCTGGGGGAACAGCCACGCTCACACGGCAGCCCAACGCTGTGCGGGATGGCGGTGGCAGGGCCTTCATCCCCCCCCCCCAAATTCTCTGCCTGGGGACCTGCTACATGTAGGCAAAGCCAGGCTTGGAAGGAAGGAAGCACCTTGGAGGTTTGAGGCTGCGCTCAGCTACAGTCAGAGCTCTGAGCCTCTCCTAGGGAAAGCCGTACATCACTTGCTCTGGGAAAGAGACCAGAGCAAACATCCATGCACAGGTCACGGGACTAATGATTAACAGAGGTATCATCCTCTTTGAACCTGTCTGTAAAATGCCCAGGGGTTCAACTCCCCAGGGAGGGAGCGGGACAAACTCAGCCCAACGCCAACCAGCATCATGCACAGCAGTCCTGGCTGCTGCAACAGAGGCAGAGGAGACCTTGCAGAGGAAGCCAGACCACATCGGGGGGATCTAAGGTGGCTTTTAGGAGCCTCCTGGCCAGGCGGATGGAGAGCAACGGGTCTTACCTTGCTGATGGTGCTGTAGAAGGGGTGATCGGACTGCATGGGAGGTGGAGGGATGTCGTACGAACGCCTCCAGATCTTCACCTGCGCCTCGCCGTGCTTTGCCGCCGTCTCAGCCTTGTTCAAACCGGTGAGACCCCCATAGTGCCTCTCGTTTAGGCGCCAGGTTCGGATAACGGGTAACCACATCTGATCGATGGCATCCAGGATGGTCCAGAGGGTACGGATCGCCCGTTTCTGTACCGAGGTGAAGCAGATGTCGAACTCGTAGCCGGCATCTGGAAAAGACCGGGGAAAGGAGGGG